GACTTTTCTTCAATCAATCTATAATCACGTCAACATTGAACTCGTGTTAATTTCCTTGTTTAGGCTAATTCTTAGTTAATTTAGAATACCCAACCTTTAAGGTTTCATATTTGACTTTTAATTCGCTGAATCATATTTACCCATGCTATGAGTAATTTAAATTAGTCCAAAATCTTCTTTTAAAAAAAGAAGAAGGCATTTATGTAGTTTAGTTCCATGTACTATTCAATTTCTTTACTCATGTGTATAAGTTAAAACTTAAATAGTATATTGTCTATAATATCTTTTTTTTTTGTTTGATACTTAAATTTTCAATACACGATAGAATCCCATGAACATATAAATCGGGATTTAAAGAAATCCTAGGAACTGAAGAAGAATCAAAGAAAGGGAAAATTGACCTTTTTATGTAGGAATCAATAATGAAGCTTGATAATCTTTCTTCCTTCTTCCTTCTTGAAATTTACTGATAAAAGCTTCTCTTTTCCCTTAAAGCATTGTTGCCTAGTGGTGGGCATCGGTTCGGTTCGGTTTTGAACATTATCGATTTTGCCTATCGGTTATCGGTTTACAAATATCATAACCCGATAACCAAACCGATAAGATATTGGTTATCGGTTATCGGTTATCGGTTAATCGGTTATATATCGTTATCGGTTCGGTTATCTGTTTACCCGATAACATAAAACAACTAAAAAAAATTGCAATATATAAAACAAAGAAATCAAACTGCCAGAACGTGTAAACTGCCAACTTTTGTTGTTTCTTAACAAAAGCACGCTCCCACTTCTGTGCAGTATCTACTGATGTCTGGCGGAGAACTGGTGGTGAGTCTTGCGTCTTGACTCTTGGGGGCTGCGACGGAAATAAGAATGAGAACTGAGAGACAAATGACTGAAGACTGAAGAGTGAAGAGGGAATTAGGAAAATAAATATCCCTAGTATATACTTAAGGGTAAATTAGTAAATTATATCATTCTTATTGGGTTATCGGTTTTTACCCAATAACAAAAATGCAAACCGAGCCCGAACCGATAACCCAATAAAAAAAAATTTAACCCGTTACCGAACCGTTAACCCAATAACCCAATTCCGATAACCCAATAAAGAATTAACGATTCGGGTGATCGATTTTACCCGATATATGCCCACCCCTGTGAGCCTTCCGCCCCTTCCCTTAATCCCTTACTTTCTTTTCCTATTGGCCAGATTTTCATCTAGTGGGCTTGGGCCCTTTTGGTTCATTCTTTTTTTTTAAAAAACAAAATTAGTTGCTAATGACCAATATATCCTTGTCTAAAATTAGGGATATTACAGTCAAATTCATAAGTAATAAAAGTTTTTTTTTGTGTTAGCTTTTTTTTTTCCAGTATTTGATCATGGAAATAAACAAGTTTCACAAGATTTTGTCACAAAGCTTTTACAAATCATAATATGGCATCAAAGAACTTTAGTGCGACATGATTTCTTTTTTTATTGAACTAGCTAATCAGCATTCATCATTTTCAGGAATTTAACTTTGTTTGAACTTGTAGTTTGTAATTTAAATATATTAATTAATAATATAAATGTAATTTGTCAAAGTTATATACTCATTGATATAGGTACACGCGCAAAGCGCGTACCCTAAGACTAGTAGATTTAAAAACCCGACACTATTGATTTGGTTTGATAATTAAAAAATTTGAACCAACCCGACTTATGTATACCCTACTTTTAATAAATAAGTTAATTTGAGAGGGAAAAGAGAATTTTAAAAGTAATATAATAGCATATGCAATGCCCTCAATTAGATGAACCATTACGATCAAGCTACATCTGCCCATGTTCTTGCTTGTGGCGAACCCAGGTGCGGAGATGGCCCGAGTCCAAGTCATGATCGAATTAGTCCAAGCACAAAAGTAGAAAAGTGCGTATATATATGGAGCTCGATTAAAAAATTATATATAGAGAGAGAGAAAGATAGAGAGAGAGCGCGCTCGATTAATCTGACAAAGCTACTGAATTCCCATGAACATGTAGGTTATATTTTAGATTTGCCACTGCTTTTGCTACACGATGATTAGCTAACTGATATTAATACTTGAATTTTTCTTCATGTCAAAAGGGAATTCAACAGCTCACATATAACTAAAAAAAAAATATTTTTACTCTATTTACATAGTGTAATTTTTCGACGATTGGATTTCGATATATTGAACCCCCTACACTCTGCTTAGTTCCGCCATTGGCTATATATTAGCTAGTCATCACCTTGTTGAAGATAAATGACAAGTTTTTCGTAGTCACTCTTTTTGAATTCTTAGTTATTTATGGTTGTGGAACTAGTAATATTCTAGTTTAATGTAATTTCAGAGTCGACATATATTATATTATTTATATAAAATATATTTATAAAAACCAACGAGATTAACAACAAAGTCGTTGTAGTATAGTGGTGAGTATTCCCACCTGTCACGCGGGTGACCCGGGTTCGATCCCCGGCAACGGCGTCTCTTTTTTTGTTACCAATTTTCTTCACAGCTGAGTCATGGCTCCTAACACCATCGAACCCCTGTTCGATCCCTGCTCTTAGCTCAGGCAGAATTAGAATATTTTGGATTTTTTTTTTTTGTGGTTTTCTATTCGGTGTTTGATTTCTCCATTCCTCCGTTTAATGGATAACCATTTGTTACTAATGGAGAATTTCTTATCATCGTAAATTCAGATGATAATATTTATACTAACGGAAACCATAAACTTCACACACAATAGAGGGCAGGGCCGTCGGGTGCACTAAACTCCCGTTACGCGTGAGGTTTGGGGAAGGGCCGAACCACAAAGATCTATTATACGCAACCTTACTCTGTATTTCTGCAAGAGGCTATTCCCATGGCTCGAACCCGTGACCTCCTGGTCACATCGCAACAACTTTACCAGTTACGCCAAGGCTCCCTTTCTTCAGACACAATAGAGGGATATGATAGAATTTTAAAAAACATATATATAGATAATGAATGAAGTTTCTTCTTCCATTTTATCCCATTCACCGGTACTAATCATTGATACTGTAAAAGTCGTTTTAGTGTTTTTGTGCCAGCTCATGATGTAAATGAGTCGCACATACACCCTAGTACATGTTCTTCGACACTGAGGGCACCCCTGAAGAGCAAGGGATCCCCAATTAATCCAGATTTACCTAGCATATTCAATTTCAGAGTTTGAAATCAAAAATTTTAATTAAGAATGAAAGATCATATTCATCGCACAACAACTCTTGGTAGCAGCAAAATTTAAAATATAATATTAAAGAAATGCTTAGAAAGGGCCAAAGGACTATTGTTTCTAGGTTTTGGTAAAATCTTAGCTCTTGTCCAAGTACCATTAAATTAATGGAGTTTTACATATATACTTGTCACATCAAAATAAATTTAAGTCACACTTTCTATAATAAATAAATAAATAAAATGTTTATAATCATAAGTAGAGAAAGAAATATGGTGAACACCATGGTTTTTATATTAAATGAAAACAATCTTCACACATTAAAACTGACATAATATTTTGCCTATTATTTTAGCACATAATTTTTTTTATTTGATAATTATGGTATTTGAATTTACGTACATTTCGATTAATTTCGTAAAATAATCTTTTTAAATTCAGTTTAACTAGAAGTACAATGGGGCATATTTGAAAAGGCATAAACTCAATGGCTGACCAGACCACATCTTTTGATATATAACCTTCAGGGGCTCGAAAAGTCAAGAATCATTTCAGAATTTGAAAAAAAGGGCAAATCTAGATGTGTCTTCTTCAGCCATTGGTTATAATTGTAAGCAGTAAGATTCTGTTTGTTACCTTAAAAACAGAATAAAAGCATTTTATTTTATATTATAGCACAATATTTGACGACGATGATGTTCGGATTAGCTTGCCTGCATCTCGACTAAAGTTATTCAAAAGAGAACGAAATCGTTAAACGAACCGATTAGGCTTATTGGTATCGGATTATCGGAGTAGATGAACGGATTAAGATTTTATAATTAACGGCTTAACGGTTTGGGAGTGGATTACTCAATTATCTTATTGGGTAAACCGTTAACCCGTTAACAATTTTTATATTTACACTTTTACCCTATGTATATAAACTTGTTGCTACATTATTGCATAAGCAGTTGTACATAGATTGATAGAACTTTTTGTAGCTAATAGTAGTCGTCTCTGGCTTCTCATGAATTATGAGTGGACATGAATTGAATTCCTCTCCGGGCCATTTTACTTAAGTTGGGTTTGTTTCATTACTTCACTTACAATTAGAGTTTGAAGTTTGTCTGTAAGTGGGTTTTTCTAATTGTTTTGTGGATAACAATGATAAACAGACAGTTTCAACTATGCATTTGGCCATTTGGTATTGATTGTTCAAAAAATTCAATTTTGTTTAAACGATAAACCGTCCGATAATCGTTAATCCGATATCAATATGTTCGTTGTCTTATTAGATGGCTAGCGGATTACTACATTTATTTAAGTGTAATTATCCGCCTTATCCGCCCGATAAGCACCCCTAATCTCAACTAGTTTATTGATTACCTACTACTTTCCACCATTACAAGCAGAAGCATATGTAGTTAGGGTACATGTTGAACCTCAACATATGCATTTTTTATACCGAGTAAGAAGGTGGAAAATCACTAAAATTTAATAAATTTTGAATCGATAATTATACTCTAAAAGTGCAATGAGTTCAATGGTAACAAAATAAAGATTACAACAACAGCTAGAAAACCCAGGATAATCTTACAAAATGGAGTCTGGGAAGGGTAGTGTGTACGCATACCGTACCCTACCCTGTGAAGGTAGAGAGGTTGTTTCTGATAGACCCTCGACTCAAGAAATGTAAACAAAATAAAGATTGAATCATGGATCCGCTTCTGAGCACAAGTACCGGATAACTTTGCTCGCCAAAACTTAGAAGAAAAGTCATCTAAGTTTTTTTTTTCCTCTAATGGGAGTTGAACTCTGGTGAATAACATAATAACTCTAACATAAGCAAACTATACAATAGATTACAAATGAAGTGAAGGTCTTTTGCAGAACAAGTTCAAACAAATCTAAAAATGGTGAATAACATAATACTTCTAACATAAGCAAAACAACCCCCTCCTCTCCTCCCTATCCCGGACCTCGGTTCCCTTACCTCAGGATCAAAATACAAAAATAAATGAAAAAGAATAGACAAAATTGTTCTTCAGATTGAGAAACTCATAGGCGAGTCGATGCTTTTGAGGTTCGTTTGTTCATTCCAAGGATTATCACAATTACTGTCACATCGTCGTGATATTTCCTCCTCCTCCCAGCTGGTATGCTCATCAACTCTTCCTTACTAAATCCTGCAAATTTATTGAATTAATTCAAACTTTTCGCAGCTATATCCACAATGCAGTTGATAGCCGATACAACCTCAGAGGATCATCAGCTCAAAATTCTATTCTTTTGCTGATCTCACTGTGTTAACTACTTAAACTAAAAAATGCTTAGTAGTATGTGATAGGTTGTGTGGTTATCATATAATGTAGTTTCATTGACTTTGTTATACCCTCAGGAAGCAAAATTGTGCTGACAGTCGAAATAGTAGTCTAATAGGTACTGTTCGATTAAGTTTAATACGTCGTCCATCCCAATTTATGCGACGGTATTTGACTAAACATAGAGTTTAAGAAATAAGGAAGACTTTTGAAACTTGTAATCTAAAATAAGTCATAGATAACTGTCTGGTTATAAGGGTAAAATGGTCATTTTAAAGTTGAATTGTTACTAAATATAAAAAAAGTATCATTTTGGGACGGACTGTAAATGAAGGAGTGTCACATCAATTGGAACGGAGGGAGTATAGAACATCCACAGATAAAAAAATAGTTGATATGGTCGAATGGAGATGATATCGATGCAGATGTCTTACCTGCACAATCTGCTGCTCGAATTACAAGCTGCTCCAGCAGAAATTTGGCTGGATCGCCAAAAGGGTAACGTTGAATATAAGAATGGACAAGCTTTACAACCTCATCATTGTTGAAGAAGTCAAATAGACCGTCGCTTCCAAGTACAACAAAATGATCAGAACTTGATATTTCATGTACAGTCAGAGACGGTTGTACAGAAATATATGGAGGACTGATTAGATTTCGGACGCGAAGAATTCCCATCAAAGCATCATTCATACTCTTCTGCAATAAGAAAATGAAGTGTTATCCTTCCTAATAGGTAAGAAGCAAAAGATTAAAAGATTATATCAATTTTGGCACCAATACGATGCCACAACGATAGTCATCTAGTGTCCATTAGCATAAATTGGCTACATAAATGAAAACTTCAAAATTCTCAGTAATTTAAAGAAACAAAAAATGCAGTTTGAGATAAGGCGCGCCAAAGTATAAGGTAACTATAAGGTGCACCAAAGCAAAAGCAATAGAAGTTGCACCTTTTTCAAGTAACCAACTCCAAGTGCCCGAGTAACCTTTAGCTTTCCCTTGACTTTCCCACCCACGATCGTTGAGTGATCTTCAGGATGATTCTTTAATAGTTGGATTCTTTCAGATTCATTATCGACAGTATGACTAACAGTAAGCTGAACAGCTTGCAATCGTCCATCACTATTAGTAACGATGCTTTCACCACAAGTTGCCAATACAGCTCGACTATCTCCTGCATTGAGCACATACAAGTTCTTCCCAAGTAGAAGCGCAACTAATACACAGGATCCAATCGATACTAAGTCAGGACGGTCATCCATTTCCTGTTCAACCATGTGAAGGAAATCGTTCTCAGCTTGAGTAAGAGCCTGTTCCAGGCTATTAAGTACTTTTTGCTTAAAAGAGGTACACGGCTTCTCCACATCTAAATAAGGAAGCGCATTACCAAAGCAATCAACATATGAGCCCTTATTAACTTTAGAATCTCGTTCGAGTTCCCAGTCCAATAAACTAAGGTAATGTCTAATTGTTTCATACAATGTTCCAGCCAGAAAATCAGCTGCATCTCTTCCATTAAATCCATCATATATGGCACAGAAAAGCGAGTCGTTCTCTTCTGAACAGACAGCCTGTACTCTGTCTTCACCCGCAGCACCACCCGCTATTTTAACTTCTGTTGCATTAAAGAAGCTTTCACTCGAAGATTTCATTGAAGATGAATTGTCTTCAGCTAGCTCACTTGGAGAGGACGGACTACAACTTAAGTTTGACAAACTACTCTGAAAAGACGATGACAATAAATCCAACTTTGAAAAGGATGGAGAAGAGGGTATCCTGCGGAATGAAGTAGGTGAATCCAGTGCGGGCAGTATCTCAGCCCCAAGCAATCCGTTGCAAATATTTGTGTTAGCTAGTGTGGCATTGGCACTTAGAGCAGCACCAGAAAGGCAAGAGAAGGAACTGTTGGCTCTTCGAAGTTTAGTTCCAGGACGCATGTCAATACCATCTGATTCATCGCCAGAATCATCAGTGTTGGAATTACAGTGATATCCAAAACTTACTTTGATTTCCGCTCCAGGATCAGTTATTGCTTGTCCACCCATCATTTGTGCCTAGAAACAAGTCAACAATCTCCGTTAGATCCCATACCATTTTTAGACCAAGGACAATACTACGCTACATAGTATTTTACAGCAAATACAATTTTTGTTTTGATGTGAATACATATTCTCAAGAATCTTGAGTATGCTATTACAAGACATTCTCAAATCTCAACTACTTTAAAATTATTAAACAAACTACTGCACACTGGACGGACAAAGAAGCTAGTCAATAAAAAAGAACCTCCAGTTTCTTCTCCTTCCCAAGGAGGGAATTCAAATAATCGCTCGTAAACTAGAAATTAATCAGGTAGCAAATTGCCATAAACAAGTGTTATGAAATAGCCCTGCTTGGCTTATCCTTGATTGTGTGGTGGAAAAATTAGAAACGCTAGATGTTTTCATTTCTAGAATCTATTTATTCCAAACAACACAGTTCTGCAGTACCCTAGATCAAACCGTGAACATCACCCTAGATCAAACCAAAACTGCGAAAGCCCAAAATTATACATGCTCATTTGAGATTGGATATTGTACCACTATTTTAATCCTTGTTGGAATATAAAGTTTAGCATGCTAGATGAAGTTGAATAGAAAATGGATCCATATAGCCAACTCAATCCAAGAAAATAAGGCTGGATATCTAGCATCTGGTACCCACTGGTCCGACTAATCCAGAATTCACGCCATGTAGAGCTCACTAAGAAAGATATTCTCATTCGCTCTCTCTTCTTGTTCTTTTCTAGATTTTAATTGGTAATACTAGCTTCTTTGGCATATATTGTCCACTACCTTCCTATTGCATTTCAGATAAGAAGTTGTTTTTACATCTTTAACCAGTGATCATTGCGTCAAAACTCCCCAGTAGTAAGTAATACTATTGCATTTCAGATAAGAGGTTATTTTCACGTCTTGAACCTAGTGACCAACATATCACTAAAGGAGCAAGGCTCCAACTAATAAGAAGTGGCGGAGCCACATACAACCAAAGGGTGTCAATCGACACCCCTTCGCCGTAAAATTACATTATATCGATAGATATGTTTTTTTTGTTTTACGTATATATATTATACGTTGACACCCCTTAACTTTTTGGTGTATTTAATTTTTATATTTTGACACTCCTTAGTAAAAATTATGGCTCCGACACTGCTAATAAGCACTACTAAAAGTCATAAATAACAAATCCTTTTCAGATAATTTATCCATTTTCAAGATTATACATCCCAAGATACTGTTAACAATCCAAAATTTCCTATATGAAAATAAAACACATATAGATTACAACATGAAAATGACTAGTTTCTCATGAAAAACACAAAACAAGCAAATCCACACCAACCCATTAACTGAAATAACTGAAAAACAGAAGCAAAAAAAATTGATAAAAAGCAAATCTTTTACAAAGAGTTTCACCATTTTCAAGACAAGATTATACAAAAATATAGTATTAACAATCCAAAATCTCCCAAATGAACATAAAATCATAGCACATGCAGATTACAATAACAAGATCAGTATTATTGCTAGTTTCTCATGGAAAACAAAAGCAGCAAATTAATCCAATCCACACCAACCCCATTAACTGAAATAACTGAAAAACAAAAATAACTGGTAATTTGCCAATATAAGTTAAAATTATAACCAAAAACTAACCTTACTTGGATTTTGATGTTAACCCCAGATGACAAAAACAGCCAAGAAGCTGAAAATGCTCAATCTGTGTGCTTAGTTTAAATTGTTTACAGAAGCAAAGTGTTAAAGAACAGAAGGAACAAAGAGAAATAAAGATAAAAGTTTGTGATAAAATTGGATGGCGTTTATTAAATGGAAGAAACAAAAAAAGGGGCGGCTCGGTTGGAGAAAATTTCTATGGATGACGTTGATAGAGGAAGTCAGAATTTCTGTACAAAGATTCACTTCACACCAATGGTGGTAATTTTGTTATACAGTAGTTTGAGGAAAAAACAAAGTGCAGGCTTTTTATTATTTTGTTATTTTGGGAGGTTTCCTAATTGGCTTGGGACTCTTAGGCCTTGTTTAAGATTAAGACGTCTATCAGATTAAGATATTTGAATCTGAATATATATTTGAATATATTAAGATATGTATTAAGATTTGAATACTAAATAATTTAAACTGTTTGATTTTTAATATTTGAATATATAAAATTTATTTTTATTTAAAAATTAATAAATATAAAATTCAAATAAAATATTAACTAATCTAATATTCTATCAAGAAAATATATAATTTTTAAAAATATGATGGTTGTTGGTGGTGATGGTTAATGGATGAATACCGACTAGAGAGGGTGGTTGGTGATAGTTTTGGTTGATCATGGTGATTCATGCTAGTAGCTAATAGTGATTGGTAGTGGTGGCGATTATGATTGAGGATAGTGGTGGTGGGTGGTGATAGTTAATAATGGCGGGTGGTGGTAGTAGTTGTGACTAAGGAATGTAGTGAATGGGTGATGGTAGGTTAATGATGGGCAATGTTTGACGTGGTTGTTGTTGATGGTGATAGGGTGGTCAGTTGTGGTAGTTGAGGTGAATGAGTATTGATTGAGGGTGAGAATGATGGTGGTCGGAGTGGTGTGGATAGTGGGTGATGATGGTGGCGACTATGATTGAGGATGATGATGGCGTGGTGATGTTGGAGGTAGTGGTAGTAGAGTGGTGGTGGTGGTTGAGTTTAATGGTGGTGGTAGCATGGTGGTAGTTGATAATGGTAGGCGGTGGCCGCAGCTAATAATGAATATGTGATAGCTTCTTAATGAAATTAAGTCTCTGTTATAGATCTTAATTATACAGACCCATTAAATGGTTGTGAAGGCAAAAAAATTAAACACACATAATGATTAAGATCTGAATTATTAAAATTCAAACTTTAAAAACAAATGCACTTAATACCTGAGATCTGAATGAGTAAGATTCAGACCTCTATTAAGTGTGAGGCCTTAATTATGTTTTGTTGGAAAGTTATTTTTATCTATTTAAAAAATAATGAAAGAAAATTTTATTTATTTTACTTCACAAATCAAAATAGTGTCAATCCTTCAGAAAAAGTTATTACGACGCACGAAGCATCACAAGTTCACGTAGGGTCCAGAGAAGTGATATATTCTAAGGATGTGATGTAGGCAGGTCATCATGATATAAGCATTGGTAGCTGATTTTACGGCTACAACTTGTGACATATAGGTCACATGGAGATAATTTTAACTTTGCTCTAAGGTTCCCCTTTCAAGTGTCAATCCTTTAGAAAAAACTAAGTCCGATGCACGAAGCATCCCGCGTCCACGCAGGGTCTAGGAAAGGGCCTCACTCCAAGGGGGTGTGATGTAGGCAGCCTACCGTGATACAAGCATCAGTGGTTGATTTCAGGGCTCGAACCTGTTACCTATAGGTCACACGGAGATAAGTTTACCCTTACTCCAAAATTCCCCCTTCTAGTGTCGATCCTTTAGAAAAAGGGTAGCCCGATGCACGAAGGATCACGGGTTCACGCAGGGTCCGGGAAGGACCGCATCCCAAGGGGGCAATATAAGCAGCTTACCGTGATGCAAGCATCAATGGCTGATTTCACAAATCAAAATAGTGGCAATCCTTCAGAAAAAGTTATTACGACGCACGAAGCAACACAGGTTCAAGTAGGGTCCAGAGAAGTGACATATTCTAGGGATGTGATGTAGGCAGGTCATCGTGATATAAGCATCGGTGGCTGATTTTACGGCTACAACTTGTGACATATAGGTCACATGGAGATAATTTTATCTTTGCTCTAAGGTTCCCCTTTCAAGTGTCAATCCTTTAGAAAAAACGAAGTCTGATGCACGAAGCATCCCGCATTCACGCAGGATCTAGGAAAGAGCCTCACTCCAAGGGGGTGTGATGTAGGCAGCCTACCGTGATACAAGCATCAGTGGTTGATTTCAGGGCTCGAACCTATTACCTATAGGTCACACGAAGATAAGTTTACCTTTACTCCAAAATTCCCCCTTCTAGTGTCGATCCTTTAGAAAAAGGGTAGCCCGATGCACGAAGGATCACGGGTTCACGCAGGGTCCGGGGAAGGACCGCATCCCAAGGGGGCAATATAAGCAGCTTACCGTGATACAGGCATCAATGACTGATTTCACAAATCAAAATAGTGTCAATCCTTCAGAAAAAGTTATTACGACGCACGAAGCAT